TGATTTTCCTTAGAAATGCCGAATTATTTCTTATGCTTGATAAGTAGTTAAACATAACCGCTAAACATGAGCAGAAATGTATTCATAATGTATATTTAGTTGGGACAATTTTAACCGGTACGAACGGGTTTTTGGTCTAGATCTAGTTTTTAAATTGAGAGGTAAGAAGTAAATCGAAAATCTTTCTTGGAAAGGTCGACGGTCTAAAAAAAAAACGAACCGCCATACAGGATTCGTGGAAATGTGTGTGTGTGTGTGTGTGTGTTTGTGTGTGTGTGTGTGTGTGTGTGTGTGTGTGTTTGTGTGGTGATGTGTGATGAAATTCACTTGTTAACGCTGCGTACAATGAAGTGGTAACAAAGCAGTAAAGAATAACCCACGGAATTCGGCCTACTTTATTAAGTTTTATAACGTTTCAAACTTCTCACTCCCCACACAAACCTCACACTCCCCACACAAATCTCACACTCCCCACACACACCTCACATTCCCCATATAAACTTCACACTCCCCACACAAACTTCACATTCCCCACACAAACTTCACACTCCCTACACAAACTTCACACTTCCCATATAAACTTCACACTCCCCATATAAACTTCACACTCCCTACACAAATTTCACACTCCCCATACAAACTTCACACTCCCCACACAAACTTTATACTTCATATGCAAACTTCACACTCCCCACACAAACCTCACACTCCCCACACAAACCTCACACTCCACACACAAACTTCACACTCCCCACACAAACTTCACACTCCCCACACAAACTTCACACTCCCCACACAAACCTCACACTCCCCACACAAACCTCACACTCCCCACACAAACCTCACACTCCCCACACAAACCTCACACTCCCCACACAAACTTCACACTCCCCACACAAACTTCACACTCCCCACACAAACCTCACACTCCCCACACAAACCTCACACTCCCCACACAAACCTCACACTCCCCACACAAACTTCACACTCCCCACACAAACTTCACACTCCCCACACAAACCTCACACTCCCCACACAAACTTCACACTCCCTACACAAATTTCACACTCCCCATACAAACTTCACACTCCCCACACAAACTTTATACTTCATATGCAAACTTCACACTCCCCACACAAACCTCACACTCCCCACACAAACTTCACACTCCCCACACAAACTTCACACTCCCCACACAAACCTCACACTCCCCACACAAACCTCACACTCCCCACACAAACCTCACACTCCCCACACAAACTTCACACTCCCCACACAAACTTCACACTCCCCACACAAACCTCACACTCCCCATACAAACTTCACACTCCCCACACAAACTTCACACTCCCCACACAAACTTCACACTCTCCACACAAACTTCACCCTCCCCATACAAACTTCAAACTCCCCACACAAACTTCACACTCTCCACACAAACTTCACACTCCCCACACAAACTTCACACTCCCCATACAAACTTCACATTCCCCACATAAACTACACACTCCCCACACAAACAGCGTATACTCTCTCAGCATTATACCTCATCATCACTCAAACCTATCAATCATTCCCATTGAACCCTAACTCTGATTTCACGGATCCCAAACCCTATTGAAACCCGACACCCTACAGGTTATAAATTAATCCGCACCCATCTGTAACACCACGATTTAATCACCTAAACCGTAATCCCAAGACCTAACCGACAACATAAAGAATAATGTCACGTCAGATGGGGGTCTACATCTGAGCTACAGGCAACACCACTGGGTTAGCTGGGGAAAGGGCGGTGGTGACAGGACCCAGCAGGTTGTCGTCACGGGTGGCTGAGTACTGTGTCATTGCGACAACTGGAAACTGTGTATCTGCCTTCATATGAAGACAAACTTGTACTGCACACAATATAATCTAAGGACTGGTGCCGGCACTACGCGGCTTGCCTGTGTAATTATCTCTGTAGCTTCAGGATTTGATAGCTATGTTTTTTTCGCTTTTGTTAAAGCTGTTACGGTTTTGGTTTCTGCAAATAAATGAAGATAAAAGAAATATCAACGGCTCTTAAACTTTCAAGATCGTAGTACACCCATATTTAGACTTTTTGCGTGTGTGTGTATGTGTGTGTATGTGTGTGTATGTATGTGTGTATGTGTGTGTGTATGTGTGTGTGTGTGATAACTTTTGTTTCCTGTCCCACTAGTGTCCATCAAGCAAGTTTCAATTTTCAGACCGATTTTCGTTGCAATTAAATCGTAGTCAGAGTTTCTTCCAGGCATCTCTTCTCCCCCCCCCCCCCCCCCCGCCAATAAAGTCTACCGCCCCCCCCCCCCCTCCCGAACGAGATGGATTTTATATAGTAAACATATACTTTTACTAGTGTCCGCCCCCGGAAAATGTTGACCGCCCCCCCCCCCCCCCGAATATATCAAGTGCCCCACCGGAGAAAAATGTATGGAAGAAACACTGATCGTAGAACACTCAAACCCGTCTTACTAAATCAAAACATCACGGTGGGCGGAGAGTGGGTACTACGTCACTACTTTGATGCATTCATGCTGCAAAGGTCTACAAGTATCGCATCATATTAAGATAGAATTTTAATTACACCTTCATTAGCAACAACTATAAAGCCTTACATTCAACTATTCACCAAATTACTTGAAATTGCAGAAATTACGAAATAAAAAAAACAAATAAATAAATTAAAGGCAACTTTATATAATACTCAATAGCACTTATGCGCCATAAACACGATGTATCATCATGATAAAAGACCCCTGACCCATATATATTATGTGCACTATCACTAAGGCTAAAAGAAAATAACCGACTTTTGTGTATAAAAATGTATCACATTTTTCCCCCTTTGTAGCAGTTTTGCAACCAATTTAGTTTTAAATACGACATTATATTCTAAAAACGACAAACTTGTATTTCCAGTTTTCTTACAATAGACTGGTTCGCCATTCTGTCATAGAATAGATGGGCTCAGGTTTCAGTTCTGAAGCAGTCTATTATTTAAAACAATTTTTTAAATAATTTTTTTACGTCTAGGATTACATAAAAAATATAGACATACACGTTACAGTTATTTTTGTTCTATCAAACGCCCTGTTCGTTGCGTTGTGACGTCATGTCGCGTGACCAGAGGTCAAACAGAGATACAGGTAGTAACGCCTAGTGATGAGGGGAAGACAATTCACTTGTGCCAGCATTTAGGTAGGTAATGAAAAGGGGAGGTCACTTATTAGTCTTGGGTGACGAGATTTGTCCCGCTTGACGTCATTTCAAAATTAATAGCGGCAGAGGAGTCGTCAGCAGCCAAATAAAGCTAATAGGTTGGATTTTTATTAATTGTCGAATTAAATAACAACTGTTTGAAACTAAATATAGTAAAAAAAGTGATATAAAGCGCATAATATATATATATATATATATATATATATATATATATATATATATATATATATATATATATATATATATATATATATTTATATTTATATTTATATTTATTTATTTATATATAAACTAATTTAAAAAATATAGCCATTGTGAAACGGAAAGTATATTTTTTCCACCGACACATTTGAAAGGCCCATATCAACCTACATAAAGTTGATGCGACGTGCTATCTTACATAAAGTTGGTGCGACATGTTATCTTGACAATCTCATAGGGTGTCTGTCTTTTTTTATTTTTTTGCACAAAAAATGACATTTCACAGGAAGGATAATATACACACTTAAAGTAGACGTAGTTTTTTTTAGTACGTTCTTATTTTGTTCCAATCTGTTCAGGCCAAAACACTGCGCCGGTGAGACAAAATTTAGTCCAGTCTTATATCTGACATCCGTTTGGGTGGGGGGGGGGGGGGTGACAACACCACAAAAAATACTAAAATTTAATGTCTAAAATGATTTACCCATTTAAAATAACAAAAATGTGACAACGAACCCAAAATACAAAATTATTGAAGGGGCGGGGGGCAGTGTGTGTGAGAGGGTTGTCACCCTCAGTTACCGCAGCGGGTGACACCCGACCTTGTGACAAGAGAGAATCAAGAATTCAAGTAAACAATGTAATGTTATAAAACTCCTGTTTATATATGAAATAAAGGTACAACTCGAGCTGTTTTTAGACTCACTAAAAGTGTTTTTGAAGATTAGTATTTAAAATGCATGGTGAACTACGGTAATTCTCAACAACAATTAACGTGTATTGCTCAACAGCGGCACATTCTTGTGTAACTAAAAATACTAAAATGATCAGCAGTTTTTTTCCTAGAAATGTTTTACCATTGTTAGTGCGTGGGAGGGGAGAGAATGCTCTAAAAAGTTGCTGATCGTGTAGAGAGAATGTTAGGGGAGAGAATGCTCTAAAAAGTTGCATATCGATGTTAATATGGGACGGGAAAAAACGAGATTGCTATTTCTATAAGTACTGAGTTCCGGGTCGTCCCCCCCTCCCCCTCCGAGCAGGAGAGGCTCTTTTAATTGCTGGTTTCAACAACCCATCTAGGAGAGATAACTCTTAAATCAAATCACTGCTGCCTTGCTGATTGTTCTTGGGTGGACACATAATATGGAAGCGTATCCAGGAAGTACATCAGGGTGAAATATGAGTCAACGTGTCCAATGTTGCGTTAACATGTTGACACGTTAGACTAAATTGAGTTGGAGTAATTTTTGCTAACGAGAAAAAGAAATGTTAAATTTCTTACATATGTTAGGTCATATGTACTAAAATACTACAGCCAAAGCTCAATGAGGTTTTATGTGACAAACATGAGGTTTTCTGCATCAACTAATATTTAATACAAGTGACAAAAACCATATTTTGTGCTGTCTGTCAGTGGTGTAGCCTTGTCAGTGATGCCATTTTATGTGATCTGCCAATAATGACATTTGTTGTTTGACTGCATAAAGATTACATCATGTTGTCTGACATTGTGAAAAAAATAACAAAGGCATTGAATATTATTGACACAATGAAGGCATTTTATTGGATGAGAGTACATTACAAAACAAACTCACGGCTACATACATTAGATCTACTCAAACCTTCAACAGTATAGGTAGTGGTAGTGAGACAGACATCACACCAACTCTGCTTCAGACAAACATAATGGCTGTGACATGACAAATGGCACTGACAGTCAAACATCACAATACTGACAAATGTAGTTTCAGATGGACAATGTTATGGGAGAGATGAGAATGTTTTTGGCAGTGAATAAATCAGACCTAACCAGTCCTACAGATGCACACAATTAGTCCACCCACACGTGAACACAGTGTAAAGATTGTTATATCCACAATACAATCCACATGAACACACCGTGTAAAGATTGTTACATCCACACTATGCCACACACACAACTCGCACCAAAAGCCCTCACAGGCAACATACAAAATAATTAGTCGTATAACTTACTATTAAATGATCATGCAAGGGAAACAACCCAATAATATACAGTTATGTGCCTTTAATAGCAGGTAATATCCCTTTGGTAGTATACTGCTAGTTGAGGTTTAACACCCATTCACAATGGGCAAGTATAGTTTACCAGAGGAGTTTTACTTTGAATTCCATTAAAATAATCCTAGAATTGTAAGTCGAAAGTTTCAACTTCTACATACACTATAAGCATGTATGAATGAGATTATCTCAAGTAGGTGCCCAGACTGTAAAAAGTACAGTTTCTTGCCCAGTGATTCAGAAATATTTAAAGTTTAACTAAATAAGTAAACATTAAGATTCTGTGTGGAATATAACATGTGCTGAATCTCTATGCTGACACTACAAGCATTAGATAACATTAAGGAATAGCCACAGACATCTAGATGTGACACTAAACAAAGGATGACTTAAGTCACATGATTGATGGAAGTCATTATGCTACATTAGTATAATTATGTCAAGAAGAATCAGTACTAAAAAGTAGGAGTTAAAATCAGCTCTCAATTTCTGTTGTTCCATTAGTGGTGCTAGAATCTTCAGGATGAACTTGATCTTTCTGTGTTGTGGGAGGAGTGTCGCCGCCACCCCCACCTTGTGTGACTGGGTCCACATCAGTTGTGGGTGGGGTGTCACCCCCACCCAGTACCTCAGGGCTCACATCTGTTGTAGCAGAATCTGCCATGGAAAACAGAATAGTTGTATTAGTGTTTTAGACAAGCTCTGTGGGATAGTTGTCACCTCCTTCATGCTGGAGTACAATGTACAGCTTCAAAAGAAATTTCTACAAACTACAATAATGGGCTTATGGTTACAGTATCAAGATTATGAGACCAGTTTAATTGATAACTTATACAAGCAGTAACAACAGCTAACTAGCAGCTATAATGTTGGTCTTAATTTTATTGAAACTATAAATCAGTATCAGCGCAAGTTTAATAACATCTAGAGCAAGGTGAGTTTATTTAAAAATTGAATCGTCTTTAGATTTCATTAATATTTAACTATAATTCTGTTACTTTGTTTATTTGATGCACATGACTATAAAAAAAAAACAGGGTAAAGAGAATATTGAGGAGAGGTGTTGGGAGAGGTGTCGCCGGAGAGAATTCAATCACCTAGTGCATGATATGCTGTTGTGAAAAAACATCCAAATGAACAAAGATGGTATACCTTCAGATGCGCCTCCAGTCTTTTCAGAATTATCACCACTCGCCTCTTCATCCTTCTTGGCTGCCTCCTCACTTTCTTTTATTTTCTTCATTTCCTCCAACCTCTTCTTCTCCTCTTCTTCCTCCTGTTGTTTTCTTAACTCCTGTTTCCTGTAGTCCTCTGGAACAGATTAGTAAATACTTTGATATCACAATACACAAACATAAACATTTGATACAAGTTGTTTTAGCCAGAACAAAATGTGAAGAAAACAGTTAAAATGTATACCTGCCAACTTGGCACAGAACTTTTTGTGTGTGGGCCAGTGCAGTCTTTGGCACTCTTTGTTACAGTATACAACCTGTGGAGGTCAGAGGTCAGGTGGGGGTTATTGATAGCCCCAGTGAAGAATACTTTTTATTAGGTTAAGATTTAAAGACCGATCAAAGGTCAGGAGGGGGTTAAAGATGTGTGATTCATTCTGTAATCCAGCCTATAAAGCATAAAGCTTGATATTAATTATTTCTAATTATTTATTCCCTTATGTATAAGGATCTAGTAATAGATTTGTTTTAAAAATAAAAAATTAACAAGTTTTGGTAAAAAAAATATAACCCTATGTTTAGGAGATAGAAATAAAATAAAACCATACCTAACTAATTGAATAACTTCAAATGTTATAACTAATGTTCAAACACTTTTTATTTACTAGAGTTGACAACTCTTTTCTGCTATCGATGGTCAAAAATTATTGTGATGGAGCTAAAGACCAGTAGAGTATGTTGGATCTAGGGATGTACTCACCATTTTACATTTGGCACACTTGGCCTCAGCCTTTGGTTCCCAGCAGGTGTCACATCCTTCGCTTGAGTCCCAGGCAAACTGCTGGCCATTTATGCCAGAGATGAGTACTGATATGGCTGTTGGTTCATTGCCCTGGTGGTACAACAATAAAATAACAAACATTGCTACAGCTGATGAGAATGTTCATTTATTTTTATATGACTGTAAAATGTTGATAGAACAATAACAACAAGATCTGATAGTTACAGATCAAAGCCATTACTCTCTCATCAATAAACCACCTCCCCTCCCAAGATCTGATAGTTACATGTCAAAGCCATTACTCTCTCATCAATAAACCACCTCCCCTCCCAAGATCTCTGAGAAATGCAGATCTGGAACTTAACTCTTTATACTTATCCCTAACACTAATCCTAACTCTAGCCCTAACTCTTCCCTATGACTTGTAGAATCACTGGGTAATCGACCCTAATATTTTATTAGTTGGTTTTTGTGTGTGTGTGTGGTGGTGAATAGAAAGGGGTGGGGGGGGGGGGTGATCTTGGGAGGTAATGTCTTGCTTCATAAGTACCTCAGTGACAGTAAAAACAGGACCATTGTGAGTGTAAAAAACAGGGCCTTCTAACCTAATCATAAGCTAAATGATACAAATCAACTCAGGTTGAAATCTGAAACTACTGATCAGTAAAATAATGTATAACTATATGAAAGCTGTGAGTATGTGGGGAGAGGTGTTTGTGTTTACGGTGCTAGAAGAAAGAACTCACAATCTTGACTGGATACAAATCAACTCAGGTTGAAATCTGAAACTACTGATCAGTAAAATAATGTATAACTATATGAAAGCTGTATGTATGAAGGGAGAGGTGTTTGTGTTTACGGTGCTAGAAGAGAAAACTCACAATCTTGACTGGAGCAATTTGTCTGACTAGCTGCTGCAGCAAGGCTGAGCTGACATAGGGAAACTCCTTGAGGGCTTGTCTCACCAACCTTTCCTGGAACTCCATGAAGCCATCTTCCTCTCTGCCTTTCAATAAACTGGACAAGATACAACAATCACATTTTACTGAGTTGCTGCTATTTTAGTCTGATTTTGTGTACATTTAGATCAATAAACATGCTCAAGGGAGACCACTTAGTCAATACAATTTATTTCTAGTGTTGATAGTAATTCAGTATCAGTTATTAAAAACCCAAATACATTTTTTTTTTTAAAGAGAGTAGTTTTAAATTAATACAGTCCTTCAAGGGTGTTATTTTTAATTTGAGACAGGAAAAGCAAAAAGGGAAATGGCATAAAATTGTAGTAAGAGTCGGAACCTCTTATCTATAAACTAATTTCAATTGGGAGAGATTTAACATTTGAACTCTACTAAATGTTCATGTTGAAAAAAAACTGAACATTTACCATTTGAACCAGCTGTTCAGAGATTTCTCTTTATCCTTCTCCCTCGACTCAGCTGCCAGTTTGATGACGGTTGAGAAAAAGTGGCACTTGATGGCCAAGATGTCGCTGACGTCACGTGACTTCATGTTCTTCTCAACCAGCCTCGACAGGACTAGACACACTTTACGTGATTCAGTGAGGAGTTCTTGGTGGGTTTGTAAATACATGGAAATCTGGACAAGAGAAAACGCATTTTATTTGATTCAATTCTTGGTGGGTTTTAAGAAAACTAAACTTTATTCATAAGATAAAAAAAAAGTATAGTGGAAAAAACAAGGTGCTATTTTTGAAAAATCTGTAATGGAATATGTAATATATGCACACTATTTATTTTCAACTGTAAAGAACGAATAGGCATAGAATCAAAGTACCTTGACAGGGTGAAGGTTGGTAGAGTTGATGAGTGTACACAGTGCTGGCGCCACAGACAAGGGAAGTTTGGCTTCTTTTTCTAAACCTGGAATATTTGATATTTTTTTTTAGATAATAAATTAACGCAATATCAGTGTTAGTAAGGAATATATGGTGGCATTAGTAGTTACATATAAGAAAATACAGATTTAACCGAATATTTTATTTTAATCTTAATACTTTGGCAACAAATCTTGGAAACATATTGCATGCCTAAATCCTCTGTAAGTGGTTTTACATCTTTATTTTGTTTATTTTTTAAAATACAAACTTTTACATCAGACAAAAGAACAATATTGGATGGCTAGTCACCTGAAGATTTGGTTGATAAATAATTTCAGATCAAATATACATTTGAATGTTTCATTTGCCTACCTTGTGGTTTAGTATAGTAGTCTATCTCGTCTCTAGGAAAAAAGTTGTTGATGGTACTAACACACTGATGCTGTCCTAAACAATTTGATAAAAAGGAAAGCTTTTGATGCAGTTAAAAACATCAGTATTTAAAAAAACATTTCTTTGTTTTAAATCACTAATGTAAAACGAAATAAATTGTAAAAAAGAAATATATTTAGTTTAACACAATTTGTTTTATTGGTTGTCTATAAATAGGTTGTAAATAATTATTTAAAAGAAGTATTCATTTTGGTTGTCTGAAGTATCATGAGCTAGTGACTAAAAGAGTCTAGGAGATTCTTATTCTTCTTTCTTAATTGTAATGTTGGACGGGATTTCCTCCCTATTATGTGCCGTACAGGACCATGACTGATTTCAGCTTTTTTTAAATTATGGATTTGCTTCCATAGCCTTTTCCCATCCAAGAACAAACTACAAGGCAGCAATTGTTTGATTTTGGAGTTTCCTATCCTAGATGGATTGCTGTCCCCAGCTATCTAGGCTCATCAGCCCAGAAGTTTGAACTCAGGACTTTTTGGATTAGCAACCACAAGCTTTACCGACCTGACCACGCCAACAACAAACTAGTAGAAGACTTACCAACAAATGCAGCCATCTGCGCAGCTGTTCTGTTGACTGAGTTGATATGATTGACATTAGCTCCAGCTTCTAGCATCAGTCTTGTCACATCCCTGTTACCTGTTTCAAATAGATAATGAAAAAGTTCATTTCTACTGTCACATTATAATTTATGATATGGTCCCAACTCTTTCAATCTCCAAAACACCAAACAATTACAACACAATCACATAATTTCCTGTTCATTAACACATCACAGGAGTTGTCAAACTTTCTATGTATACTTCCTAATATGAAAAAACATGCATTCTCTGAGTGCAATCTTGATTGATTATCAAGAATATCATTTGACAAAGATTAACCTGAAATAAGCAAGAATAGGTTTGACACTGCAACTACCTGAGAGGGCAGCAAACATGAGAGCTGAGTATGAGTTTTCATGAAAGTTGGAGTTGACATCCGCCCCATTAGCCAGAAAAAACTCACACAGTTCTTTGTTGCCTCGGAAAGCTGCCAGCTGTAAGGGGGTCATCCCTTTCTAAACAAAAAAAATGTTTAAAGTGTTTTAGAAACTCAATCATGACTCTTTTTTTTAGTTGTGTGCTTTAATTTCCAAAGTACAGCATGTCAAAATCTAATGAAAACTTTACGAAGTAAAGTTAAAGTAGAACAATCAAGCAGGCCAGTATTGTAATTTCTGATATTACTTGCCTACACAGATCTGTTTTATTTGCTCTTAGGCATTTGCTATGTATCATTTTAATAATTAAACTAATTAAAATATAATTTTAAAAGTTATAGCTTAAACAAAATTGACATAGGATTTTAAGATATTATTTTTGTACACAGGCCTATATAACTGAATGAACACTACTTACAGGGTCAAGGCAATCAATCTTGACTTTAGTGGACTTAACATGGCCAATGACAGATTCATTTGTACCTGTAACAGCATAATTCATAGTTAAAATATAATCATTAAATCACTCAATACATTAAAACTATATATTATAAAAGTTAGTTACAATTGTGTAGCCATTTAATACAATCCATATTTATCACAAAGGCATTGCAATGTTTCCTTTAATGATGATGAGAATGATGAATTGGGGGGAGGGGAAGGAAAGGAATTTCTTAAAATAACTAGCATAAGTAAGACTACATACATTATCCAATGGATACTGGCAGTTTTTTTTTTAATAAAAACTGATATATCATTTAATTAAATTATAATTATTTAATGGTAACAATTTTATGAATGGCTTATGTCAGAAATTAGTAGGCTTTTGAGTGGGCATAGCAGACCCACAAGAATATTTTTAGATGTCAGTTGGCCTATTATTATAATATATGTCCATATGTAGATTTGAGTTTGTTAAAATAAAACATATGTGCCTAAATCTTAATAATGCAATTTACTTTTTCTATGAGGTAGTCCGTAGTATACAAACCTAATTTAATTTTAACTTTGGACATTAAGAGTTTGTGAGTTTAGTTTAATCAAGGCATAGGCCTAAATCCTAAATAGCTAGGGTAGTATCCCCTAGCCCTAATAGATGTATGATTCTATCGGTGTCTGCTCCATGTCCAATTTTTTTTTTTAATTTAGGGCCTATTCCCTTGGTTAAAAACAATTTGAATTTGGGCATTTCTACTGAATATTCCTAGATAATGATATAGAGTAAAGTTCCACGCGCTGTTAAAACCCGGGTGCGGCCATCGCCTGTTTATCGCTTTGTACAATATTTGTTTTGATGTTTTATACGAAACTACCGATATCTGCTGTAAACCTGTCCATTTCTAAATATATCCAGGTCAAATTCTTTTGTTTTTCTCCTTCTGGAAGTCGAGTTTTTAAAGTTTTGAGGTACGACGTCGTAGGCGATTCTAGTTCCCCCTATGAAAAACACTAGGTCCCGGATGAGATGAATAAACCAACCAATCAAAGCTTTTTATAACTAGGTTAACTATAAATAGCTTCTACAATATGTGCGGGACACTGTACATACGATAGATAAGGCTAAGGGGTCATCCATAAATGACGTCTCACTCGTAGGGGGGAGGGGGGGTCCGTAATTTTGTGACGATGTGTGATGAGGGGGAGGGGGGGGGGGGGGGGGTCAGATGTTGCGACGTCACATTTTTGCATTATAAAAAAGCAATGCTAGAAAACGAATTTTAGACGTTATTTTGCGTTTTAGAGAACTGTTTTAATAAATTGTAATAGTTTAGACAAGATTTTGGAAAAATATCGATGTTTTAAAAAAATTCAACTGCAATTTTGAGGGGGGTTGTAAGCTGAGGTGTGACGTCATTTTAGGGGGGGGGGGTCTGGCTTTTTGTGACGACGTGTGACGGAGGGGAGGGGGGGAGGTAAAAATCGTCAAAAAAAGCGTGACGTCATTTATGGATGACCCCTTATAAAGCAACCTGATAGGTGAATAGGGATGGCCGCAGCTTGGGTGTCGATTAGGGTGGTTTCACCTCGCTGCGTAACCAACGACTTGAGCTAGACTAGCCTAGTTCTAGATGCTCTACATTTCAAGCTAAGCCTAGAATCTGTATAATTTATTTTTTTCTGCTGTTTTAAATTATTTCGATCATCTACTTCTTCTAAATCTAGTTTGTGTCTCTACATACAAGCATATCTAAGCAAATATTACGTTATGTCTTGTCAGTGGTTGTTACGTCCCTTTGTTATGATTATTATAGTTGCGTCCCTTGAGTCATCACTGGGTCAACTTTTAACGTCGTTAATTAATTTAATTAACATGTTTTTAATTTGGTTTTGCAATCTATTAATTAATAATACAATCAACAACACGTTTAAAAGTGTAAAATATTTATTTTATTTATTAAACTAGGATTAAAACGTATAAAACACGATCGTTACGCAGCCGGTTCAGATGGCCGCAGGGAAAAAAAAAGAGGGGAAAAAAATATCGCAAGTAGTAGGGTTGTCGGCATCCGCCGAGTTCGCGGTAAAAACATGACCCGAAATCGCCCATTACTTTCTGATACCGGACCCACGAGATTTGGTTTTGCATACTAATAAGTTTTTAATTTATGGTAATTAATTAAGTTTAAAAGGTCATTTCCTAAGGTTAATTAAAAAGTAGAGTGGTTGTCCCTTAGTTTTAATGGCTTTGCGACCTGATTACATGCTGTCTCTGCTTTGGTCTTCCCTCTGTATCAAGGTTAGTTTCAAATACGTTGGAATCTCGATTTTTTAAAGGATTCCTCTAGATGAGAGTAGATTACTGATCAGACATATCTTAAGTAATTGGAAATGAAATTTGTTTTTGGATATTTTGACTCCGACATTAGTTATATTCCTCCGAACGTAGTCACTGTATGTAGGTCACGCTGCCACCATTGTTATATTTTTTCATCCCGATCTTCCGGCCTTTAAAGTTTGATCAACTAATAACAGCATTCTTATGGCATGTGCAAACAAATCTAATTTTTTATTTCAAAATATATTTACATACCCATCTTTAATTTTTTCAGCTCTAGTTCTAGTTTTGCAGAATGTTTTTCCTAAAAATCCAATTTTGTCAGACTAGACTCTAGACTGACAAGAGTCAGACCTAGATCTAGGTTACCTGTCTGTTGCTATACACTAGCATTGTGCTAACTGTAATTTTAAGTATTCAAGTTCTACTTACCCTTAGATATAGTTATATGCTGAAAATCAGAATCCATACACAATTCACACATAAAAACATTGATCTGATAACTTCATTTCACTTATTACAAAATGGCTTTTATATGGACTCTACTTCACCTGCCCAAAATAACAAGGCAGTTATAGACACATTACAGTGTTCAAGTCATTTACTTTAGATTTCTGACTATGGAGTTCTTTCATTCACTGTATTTATATAAAATATTGCTTTAGAAACATTTTCATATTTGCGCAGCAGTTTTATAACATAATGGCTTAAAGATGGACTCTACTTCACCTGCCCAAAATAATGAGGCAATTATATGCACATAACAGTGTTCAAGTCATTTACTTTAGATTTCAAACTTTGTAGTTCTTTCATTTGCTGTATTTATATAAAATATGGCTTTAGAAACATTTTCATATTTGCGCAGCACACAGTTTTTTGGGGTTATGGGAGGAAGCCAACACAAAAATAAAAGTTCTGTATTATTTTTATTCATTTCAACAACATTTACAAGTTCTATATATCATTCTAGCTAAACTCTGCAAATATGAACAAAATACAAATGCAATTAAAATAACTATGCTCAATTTATTCAGGTATACCATGACTTGTCACAATTGGCCAATGCAAAAGTAAGGGGATTCCACCCCTCACAAAAAAATTCGCAAAAAAAAAAACTATTTGAGCTAGACAAAAAATCTTTTTTGTTTTGTTTTCATTTTGTTGAGCTCTACAAGAATATGTAATTTTTATTTTTATATGATGATTAGTGCTTTTTTACCAAAATCCCTACAAGTAGCACGTCACTAAAACATGAATATCTCAAATTCAATGCGTAGGAATATAAAGTGATTGATACATATTAAGAGTAGAAATGCAGAGGAATAATATAGTACTTTGGGTTTGTTTCTGTGTTAAACGGTTACAAAATAGCGCCCGATGAAAGTCGGGAGTTGGCTATGTGTGACCGATTGTGGAACTTCACTCTAGATCTGTTTGTTAAAATCTAGATTATTCTAGATCTAGATCTAGATCTAGATTCTAGTTATAGTTAGTCTAGATCTAGAATCTAGTTGGTTAAGTTGAGGTTTATACCCGACCGTGTGTTTCTTTCATTCATCGCATAGATCTAGATCTAATAATAATATTATTTCATCACAAGACAGCGAGAAGTGAGAGTGAACTGAAGACACAAGTCAAGTGATTAGTGAAGCCAAGCAGTGCAGCATGATGATGATGAATGCCATTAGGCCTATAACTATAAACTATATTAGTATATTGGAGAGTTAAATTACATATTATATTTTCTGACGTAGTACAGACAGTGCGATGAGATACATTTTAATTTATTACCTTTTTCTATAAGCTCAAACAGCTTTTTCTCGTCTAGTGTTCTGTTATCTTCTTCTGTTGCAGCCATCTTGAAATTATATAGTTAACTGCCCTTGATTTCCGGAAATTTCTAGTAAAGGGGAAGAAATAAATGCTACACCGTTGCCAATAGAAACAGGCATAGAGATTGCCCTTGAAATGAATTAAAATTCATTAAAATTTAAAAAAAATGAGATAGATCTAGGGACCTAAATCTATTTAGATTTACATTTTTTTAATTTCATGAGTTCAAATCTGTTAACATAGTTTTAGAGTTTTATCTTTAAACATCTTAGTTTAGTTAAGTTTAGTATAAAGCAATAAACTCAAAACACTTATTTATTATAGGAATTATTTAAACTTAAGCTCACATACTAGATTCTAGATCTAGATCTAGTATTCATTAGTTCATAGTATAAGCTAACATGCTTTGATTTTATAATTTTGCATAATTTATATTAAGACCACACGTTGTTTACAATGATTGGATGCATAAAATATAGGCTCCACTAGGGTGACTAGTGTAAAAATGGGAAGGGGGGGGGGGGGGGTTACACATTTTTTAAAAACTGATATATTTTTTGTTATTGTAAGTGCAAAAATAAAGTAGGCCTACTAATGCGATTTAAAAATATAGGCCTAATATAAATTATCTTGTCGTGTTGGACTATGTGTGTGTAAGGGGGGGGGGGGGGAGGGGGGAAGAGATTTCTTGAAATGTTTTAGACTATGATCCCAGTGATGGTGTTTTATTATTGTTATATTATTTTAATGCATGATGAAATGGTGGAAAAGTGATGTGATATAATAAGCCTTAAGTTTATACTCATTCAAGGGTTTTTTTTTTTTTTAAAGTTTTAAACACCTCGTTTCTTGTTTAGTTCCCGGAGACTTTCATCAACTGTAAACGTAGGCTCAATGTATGCCCTTTATTCATTATAGTAGGCCTGAAATTATTTTAAAAGGATACATTCGTAGTGAGAATTTAGGTTCCCTTTTCGAACCTGACGGTCCATGGGGTAAGTGAAGTAGAGTTCATGTGAAATAACAGTAGTAACACTAAAAGATAGCCTATTTATTAAAAGAACTTTCTGTTGCTCACAGTTCTGTATGAAGAGTTGAGGGGAAGAGGGAGGGGGGGAGGGGCGGGGAACTTATGTTGGGTTTTGTTAGGCTATGGTAGGCTTATGTGTATGTGTGGGGGGGGGGGGAGGGGGGAATCATGAAACTGTATTATATAGTTAGATGGGTTGGGGTGGGTCGATATTAAAATTATTATTATGTTTTAAATGTTAATCTAAAGTGTCCTCTAACTCGTTAGAACTGACTATCTAAATTTGTTTCGCGTTTGCTTGTTCGAGTAATGTCCCCTCGACAAAAAAAAAACAAACAAACAAAAAAAACTCGCACTAGCGACTAAGCCTAATGTTACGACTGTTTAAATATAAATTAAACACGTTTACTTTTTTTTTTTCATTTTACCACGTGAAAACATGACTATGGGGTAGAAAATGTAACAATCTGTTGGCGAAATAGAATTTTTATAGAAAACATGTACTTCTACTACTGTCCCCCCCCCCCCCCCCCCCCCGTGAAAATGTTTGTCCCCCCCCCCCCCGGAAATATCAAGTGCTCCTCCTCCTCCTCCCTCCCCCCCCCCCCCCCCCCCCCCCCCACCGAGAAAAAAAGTCTAGAAGAAACACTGTTGACGGCATATTGTTTACTTTACATGTGTAACTTTTTGTACATTTTCTTACTGCTTTATTTCTTTCATCCATTTTAAAAGCGACTTTGCAATTTCGACAAACAAGTAAAAATACAAAGTGTGATCAGTACTTAAACATAGACCCACTTATCACCGGGCGAACTTATCAATGACGTCCACGCCGATCAGCGATTAGATACCTGTAGTGTTCAGCCGCGATAGTTCGATCAGTCAAACCCCATCACGTGACTGTCGGTGATAGCGTTGGACTGTATTGTTGCATCATGTATTTTAAAAAATGTATCTTTTAACCAGCTGACGCTTACACATCACAGTTCAAACTGGCCAGGATAGGCTGGATAGTTTAGTTGAAATTTTTGTTTCATTTTTTCTCATGATCTGCAGTTTGTAGTGTTTTATTTTAACTTTTACCTTAGAAATGAACCGATAAATGAAAATATAAACGCGCGTCAATAAATCACAAGTTGGCAATTTCACTAACAAGTGGATTTAAGAACAGCTAATTTAGTGTTTATAAACGATCGAACCTTCAGTGGACGGTTTGATAATTTATATTTTGTTATTATAACCGAGAAACTAGCTAATTGAAAAATATCAACTTGAAGTGATACGGACTTGGCTTAGCTAAACTCATTAGGATTTGTATGGTCGTGTTTTATATCTTTTTTTTCATATTGGTCTCTATAAACGCTATTATAAAAATTTGGAACTGAAGTAAAAAAAGTTCTGTTTTGAAAGAGCTTGGAAATAAGTTTCCATCATGAAAAGCTTACTGCCCCGTCACTAAACGTGACGCGAATGTTTTCAAAAACAGCACATTACTTGACACATACGCACCGTCAAGTTGTCAAATCATAGGATATGTAATCATTCACCGACATCATCACCATGCTCGGTTGTCGGCGGAAGTGGTTTCCATGGCAGCAGCGGATGTGTCTGATGACCCTTCTGGCACTCTTCAGTTCCAGTGAAGCCGTCTTAATTCCGGGGGTCGGAACAACACCTCTGACGGTCATGTGACCTCAGGTACCAAGATAGAGGAAGCGATAGAAGTACAGTACACAGACTACAGAGAGTACAGTATCTATGACGATAGCGACGATGATAATGCTGACCATGGTATGTAGCCTGCATTAGGGGGGTCGTCCATAAATGACGTCACACTCGTAGGGCGGAGGGGTCCGTAATTTTGTGACGGTGTGATAAGAGGGAGGGGGAGGGGGAGGGTTCAGATGGTGTGACATCACACTTTTGCATTGATTAAAATGCTCTACTGCTCTACGTTGACGGATTTCAGACACCATTTGGGAACAATATATTCAACTGCAATTTTGAAAGGGGTTATAGGCTGAGGTGTGACGTCATTTGAGGGGGGGGGTTCTGGCTTTTGTGACGATGTGTGACGGAGGTACGAATGAAATGGCAAATATGAACTTTATTCAATAAGAACTAAGAACTCACGTACAAATAAAACTGCGCACAAAATATACGCAAACAGATACAGATAAAACAGCTTATCGAAAACTAATATAGTTGTCGAACCATATCGTTACTGTTGTATTATCATGTCAGCATGCTTTTATTAAGCAAGTATTTTAAAAAGTGTATGATATAAGCACATTTAGAACGATATGTAATAGAATTATATGCCTTTTCAATAGCCACATTTCAGTTAATAGGATTTTAAAAATGGACCCTGAATATATTATAGAATAAATAGGGAATTTGTCTTTTATTGAAGTTGGGGCAGCACTTTATTTATGCGCTTGTTTTAGGTCAGATCTGTCAGAACTAGTGTTGCAGTCTATCAGGATTAATCAGGGTTAGAGTAAGAGTTATAAAACTAGAAATAAACACTGAAACTCTAATACGCCATCAGGATGTTCTAAAGTTTCGAAATATTTTATTTTAACTTATTTAAACTTGGTTCGTGATTTTTGTATTTCTATTTTAAAACGCACACATCTGCTGTAGGTCTATTGTTTGGGAGTGCTGAAGAAATATCTAAAATATTTAGTCTAACACGGAGCTGTCTCAGTTGCCGTTCCTTGTTTTATTTTTGTGGTTATCTCGGCGATAAAGTAGGCTTGGTGATGTCACAGATATCTCCAGGTCTCACTTGTCGGGCTAGGGGTGTGTGTGTGTGTGTGTGTCACTGGTAGTGTCGTGTACCAGGAATTAGACTACTTCACCTGTACATGAAGTGGGAGGGTGGGTGAGGGTGGGGGAAGGGACAGTAGTGTTTATGAGTGGGGTAGACTCCAGATCTAGAGGCAGTGACCTCGCTAGGTCGGGTGTCACCCGGTGCGGCATCTTATGATGTCACCCCACCCCCACCCTTATCGGGATCGTCATTATGGATACTTTTTAACTCTAATTAACCATTCAGTGAACTGCCAAAAAAAAATATTTATTCTATATATCTTGCACTTTCTTTTGTCTTAATGTCACCACTCATAAATAGTTTCACTGGTGCGATCCGCACCCCCGCTCCCACCTCGCGACGCCCCTGTCTAGAGGTAACTGTCTATCAAGTTATCATTCGTATTAGTGATAACTAAAAACAAACAATAAAACTTTACTTACCAACGGTACTAGATTTAAAGGTGAGCGATGAGGTATGTTAATACCACACACAAAACAAGCCAAACGGTACTAGACTTAAAGGTGAGCGATGCGGTATGTTAATACCACACAAAAACAAACCAAACGGTACTAGATTTAAAGGTGAGCGATGCGGTATGTTAATACCACACAAAAACAAACCAAACGGTACTAGATTTAAAGGTGAGCGTATGTTAATGCCACACAAATACAAACCAAAACGGTACTAGATTTAAAGGTGAGCGATGAGGTATGTTAATGCCACACAAAAACAAACCAACGGTACTAGATTTAAAGGTGAGCGATGAGGTATGTTAATATCACACAGAAACAAACTAAAAGGCCCAAGAGAATGTGACGACTTTTTCGAATTTGTTTATTTTGCATTCACTTTCGACTGATGCATAATATTCATTCTCAGAGATAGCAAACTATTTAGAGGGCGTACTGAACTATCATTGCCTGAAATTAATATCGAATATAAATTATATGTTCTTTCTCATGTAAATCTAAATTTAAACATAAACATCCATGTTCTGCCACATACGACCATACAAGAAGGGTGTTAGTCTCACCCGTAGAAGGAGATTCAAATAGCTTATTTTTTACTAGTACTAGTAGACTTTTCAAAGATGTTTTTTCTACTTTGTTTTTAATCGTATCAAGGGAATGAATCAAACAAGTTACAAATCAAGCTGGCGTTGTTTCCCTCTAAATAATTATTGTTTGCAAGCATGTATTATCCCAGAATGCCCATTAACTCAGCTATCAGCATACTGTGTATTCTACATACGCCTCCATAGCTGCCTTTTTTATCGAAAATCAAAGTTCTTATCTGGGTTGCTGTGAGAAGCGAACAATGGATCTCTCTCTCTCCTAGATAATGTTTCTGTTCCCATTTAACGAGAGTCATGTTCAGGGAAGCGAACGCCGTCCTATCGGGTTAGAAGCCATGAATGTTACATCCCGACCATGTCGCCACCCCTCGCTCAATGATCTAACAAAGTATATTTTGATTTCCATTCTTCTGATTGCATTTATCCTCAATAGTTAGCACAATTGTAATCATTTCAGTGTCTTGACTTACAGAGTTCGCTGGGTGAGATTAGCTCAACCAATGTTGTGGGCGAGCGGTGGTTACACCTAGTCTACACTTTGTATTTTATCACACGTGCATCACGGGTTGAGCAACAATCGAGTGCTCACCACTAAAAAGTTAAAAACCAAATGACAGCCTTGTTGTGTGCTTTGTGTTCTACAGGTCAGAGAACTAACGACAGCTCACCCTCCTCAAGGTCACAGCCCCTTCCTGGCTTCTGCCAATACTTGCCAGACGACCCATCATTTCAGGTAGGTAGGGTTCATAGGCCAGAGATGGTACTAATATCCTTTCACCCCCCCCCCATGTCCCAGAGGGCGAGCAGAGTTCATCAAATACAATTTAGATTCAAATATGAAATTAAAAACATGAAACACAATCTAGACATGAAAACATAGGGCACAATCTAGAAACTCTAAGATGACCTATCCGTCACAACTCAATACCACTGTTTAAAGTCCACACTCAATATTAAATATACGAAGCTTCAGACACCCCCAACCTACCAGTTCTTGCCCGGAGTAGTTTCCCTTTGTATGAACACATCGCCCCTCCCCCCTCAACTAGTAACTATTCTGGAAGTATGACCACGTACCTCACCTACCAGATACCTGACCCCCTCACCCCCTAGTGACCAGCCTAAGTATTCCTTGTGTATGACCACATGTCTCCATCTCTAAACCTTACTCCCCCTACCCTCTACTTGTAACAAACCTGGATTAAGTCCGTATATTCACAGATATCCCCTCACCACTAAACCATACCTCTCGCCCCACCAGTGACCAGCCTAAAGTAAGCCCGTATATCCTTCCACCCCCATTCATGATTCCATATACCTGTAGTAATTCCTTATCTGTACACATGTCCCCCTACCCCTGAATTTGACTCCTCACCCCACCAGTACCCACCCTGGAGTAAACCCGTATATTCACACGTCTCCCCAGCCCCACAACTCGACCATCATAAGAATCTCATTCGAGGGGTTGCAGGTCAGCCAACCTGGCATCCCCTTTCGTTTCTACGTGGACTCGACCATCTATAAACTGATTATAAAAGTCAACAGCAGTGACCCTTTGGCCACTACCATTTTAGACCCCTCAGGTAAGTCACTGTTTTCCTGTTCTCTGTAGACTCCTAAGGTATGCAACTGTTTATTGTCTGTTCAATACGCTATTTGACACATTTTAAACGAAAATACCCTAACCTTTACTAACATGTATTATTCATCATAAAATTCACATGGTCTACAAAAATGCCGTTATAAAGATTAACCCCTCCCCAAAACTGACACAAACTATAAATTCTTCCAAATAATACTCCCCCACCCAGTTGAAAAAGTGTGATTTAATCAATCAAATCAGTATGTACATAATGGGAACAGGGCATTTCCCCCCTGTCAATTACCCCCGACACATTCCCTCCCCCTCCCCCGACATTACCCCCGGAGTAATTACCCCCCTGTCAATTACCCCCCTGTCCATTACCCCCCGCACAATAGGACATTACCCCCGGGACAGGGTTAGAGTTAGGGTTAGGGTTAGGGCTAGGTTTAGGGCAAGGGTTAGGGTTAAACCAATGTCTAGCGTTGGTTTTGTTTTTTATGAAGTTTTAGGCTAAGGTGAATGCTTAGGTTTTGGTCTTTTTCTTAAGGTTTGGATTAAAGTAGTATACAGGTATAGAATTCTAGAGTTAGGATTCTAACTTGAGAAGGTGGGGTGGGGGTAATTGACAGGGGGGTAATTGATAGGGGGGTAATTGCTCCGAGGGGTAAATA